ATATATATATATATTCAAAATTATATTCTATTTTGTAAGAATTGTATTTAGTTTATTAGTTTCTTAAATTTTTGCCACTAGATGGTGCTACATGTAAAGCTAGAAAATTGAATGTTGACAAAAATTAATTGATATGTAGAAATCAATATTTTGGTGTGAGATGTACAACATGATCTATGTTAGAGGTATATGAACATAACTTCCATGTTTTGTAGCAATTGGTTAAACGGCCTAGATGTGCATAGCAAACAAACAAACAAGCATCCTCATTTATATACAATATATAATCAAATTGCCCGATGGGAATGTAGCTGTATTCATAATGTCTGGTCAACTTAATAAATTAGTCAATATTTATCAGGCTATGCAACCATTTTAGTCATTATTCATAATAGCTGGGCATTATAAATAATGCCTTATTATATAAATAATCACTTGGTCCATAACATATAGATGAATAATAATTAAAAGTGCAATATCTGGGAAATAGAAGATGGTTGCAAATTTTCTACTTAAACTTTTTTCTTTTTTATATCATTAAACTTTAAAGTAATATTGAACTAATTGCCACCTTGAGGAAAAATGCTTTTCTGTATGATGTAAATTATTATTTTGGCCTATTTAATTTAAAATTCATTTAAATTAATTAATAATTTTGTTGTTTTTTGATTATTCATCTTTTTTTAAAGATTTAGACATTGGAAACAGATCTGTCCAATGTAAACCATTTCCATTTTCCTCTTTATTACTATACCATTTAATAATATAAATAAAAACTGTAGTAATTCTGAGAAAGTTTAATACTTTATCATTTATTCTTCTTATAATATGTTTTAAATCATGTTAAACATTATCGATGGAAAATTAACTTCTTAATGCAATGAGTTCAAAATAAAAATGATTATTTACACTTGATGTAATTGTTTTTGTTTAAACAATATAAAGTTGCCAACTTTCTTGTATATAAAAGGACATATAACCAAATAGTTTGCTGTAAATATTTATGGTATTTTTGGGTTATCCTCCAGCATGTCACACCATGTGTTGCTTTCCACTCTCTTGTATCAGATGTGCTCTGTCATGTTGCTTACAAAATAATAAATGTGAGTTTGAATGGGTGATCAAATGAAACATTTTATCAGCCATTTAATAACTAATAACTAAATAACTTAAATAACTAAATTTCACATAGATGAAAGATTAAATTTGTTTCAATAACATTTAGAAAGTCAGACTAATTTTTTCAAGAACTCAAACATACTATACAGTATTTTAATATTATACACTAATATGCAAATTAGTTTTTGGTTTGACAATTTGTGTTGATGGGACAGTTCGTGAAGAATGGATTATTAATTCAATTTTTGGAATTTGTCTATGTCTGAAGTTGATTAATAACAATCCACGAAACCTTTTTTTACAAGTGTTATATCCGTAGTAAACTCCACAAACGCTTTCGACCTCCACTGAGGTCTGCTTCAGGTGGTGACCTGTGTTTCCTCCTGACCCTCCTCCTGAAGTTGATGTTTGTATTCTGCAAAATATTATATAATTTGAAAGCTTACCAAAAAAATGATTAAAATAAAGTTATATTTAAAGTGAAAAATCCAAAATGTGGGTGTAACAAAATAAATGTAGGTATGATGTTGAAATATAAACAAATAAATTAAAATGGCATAAATTCAATCTAGCTTAAGAGTACAAAAAAGGCAAAATATTCAATGTAAAACATCAAGAAAACAAACTGGTACAATGCCGAATTTGATTGCAGAAAATCATTTCAAAGGGAAAGTAAGTTTCCTGAATTACTAAAAACAATTAGATAAAAAGTGAACATCCTATTAAACCAGTACATAGAGAAGTGGCAAGTTGAATTTATTATATTTTAAATCAGACAAGTATTATGAACTAAAAGAATCTATGTATAAATATAAAAGTTTGCCCTAATTTATTTACTAAAATATTAAAATTATTTCAATGACTGTATGATTAATATAACTAACAATTTAAATTGCTTTTTTGGATTGCACACAGTTTTAACTGCAATGTGATACAACATGTAAAAGACATGACACAAGATGATAACCCTACATGTACCATATTTGTCAATTAACTGTAAATTATAAGACATTAAATAGATAATAAATAAGGTTTTAAACTCAATGTCAGAATTATTATTAACTGTTGTGCACTGCCATCCTAATCGTCATTAAATTTTATTTGCTTGTCTGACTCTGATTAATAGTACTGTCTTTCTTTCTAGTAATTTAGTGATTGGTAAAGACAAAACTATTACTTTAGAATAAGAAAATAAAATATTGGAATGTTATCTACCAGTAATATTTCAGAGATAAAAAAGTAAAATTAAAAAAACAGTTAAAATCAAGAGTGACTTTATTGATAAAATGACAGGAGGACAATTTAGTTCAATGGAACAGTGGTGTATTATTCTATGAGAAGAAGGGCAGTTGTCTAAAACCCCCACCAATACAGAGTCCAGATCAATCTTTTATATACTCATTACTGTAATAAAAATATCAAAATTTAAATTTGGTGTAATATCTGAGGATCTTAAACTGTAGTATAGGCACAGTGCAGACCTTAATCCTCTAACAGGTTGCATTGGAAAAATAAATAAGAATACCAGAGGATTCTCACCCCCAAAAAGTCCATTGTACGTGGAGCCCCTAATTCAAATTTGCTTAGGCCCCATTAATCTATAATGCACCACTGCAATGGAGGATGATTGACAACTCTAAAAAATAGTGTCATTGCACTTTAACCATTTTAAAATTTAACTTTTTACAATAATGACACATGTTATAATTGACTATCATTTCCATAATTTTCTATGAGATTAAGATTTAAAACAATAAGGTACATGGAGTACTCTGCAAGTTTAAATTTGATCCCCTTGCATTGTTCATGCCAAATTTAGAAAACAATGTTCTCAAGTTCCAGGAAAAATTTCTGCAACAATATATACTGCAATTTGACAAACTTGTGATTTGCAAGATGACACATAGTTGTGATATAATCTAAATACATAAGTTATATATACAGTAAATGCCTAGCTGAAAAAATGTGAACACCTTTGGTTTTAAAATTTCTGAACGCTCTTTAATGGGACTTACAGTATAAAAACAAAAAAGTACAGTACCATCATAACATAAGATCATGTGACCTCTGAAATCTGGTCACTAATCATTTGTTCTACTGTTCCCTCAAGATGAAGACATATGTTGTTTATTCACATATATTTTATAATATCTTTATAATGTATAATTGCTTCTCATATGTTTGTCAATTAAACCTGTTAAGTAGAAGTTTACTTAGGGTGCATTTGGAAATCTTACCAGTGTTACCAGTAACTGTTAGTAGTTACCAAGGCATTTAGAAAATGTGACCCAAATAACCAACTGCATTTAAAAATCACTGTTATGACATTACTGCTTGTCCTGCAGTACTTACCGAAGTAACTGTGACAAAACAGTTAAAGTGGTTCTATTGAATTACAAGATGGCGGATACATTGTATAGTGTGACAAATGCACCCATGATTTTAAAAATTTAGAGAAAACAAAACATTTTGTTTCTGCAACACAAAACGACTAAGATCAGAAAGCGCCATCCCAAATTTCAGATGGGGCAAGACAGTATGAAAAATGGCCAGCAAATGCTACGAAATTATTGATTTCACAGTATAAACTAAACAAAGATAAATTTTCTCTGATACTTGTTAAAAAAATTCTATAAGTTTATTTTCATTTTTTGATGAACTTGTCGAATCATCATTGTCATATGATTCTGAATCAATATTCGAGAGCAATGACAGAATTAATATCATCTCCTCTTGACTTTCTGCCATGTTGAACATTACAAAATAACCAGCACATTTAAAAATGCATAAGTCACCCAGAATAACTGGCTATGACCGACAACATCAGTCACCACTACTGCGGTGTTATCAGTTAGAATTTTGAAACATGCCCTTAGGTAGCCCCAATGGCGGTCCATTGGGGCTACCTAATTCAAGCTTTGAATGAGATGTTGGAGACCTTATCAGAGCTATAGAGCATACTTATAGAAGGAAAAAAAATTCAAAGGAACCATACCTCTACAAGCAACCCTTTGT